GGGGGGGGGGGGGGGGGACGTGGGGGGAGGCGCCGGTCTCAGCTCTCAGATGGGGGTCTGATGTACGCACGGTGACTGTAGTAATACACTGCATTTATACTGGAAATCTAAGGGAGTAGATCCCAAGAAATGGTACAGCCCGGCCGGCGGGGCTCGGTGGTTGAGCGTCCACCTATGGACCAGGAGGTCGCGGTTCGATTCCCAGTCAAGGACACAGGCCCGGGTTGCAGGCTCGATCCCCAGGGTGGGGCTGTGCAGGGAGCAGCTGATCCATGGTTCTCTCTCATCAGTGATATTTCTCTCTCTCTCTCTCTCCCGCTCTGAAATCAATAGAAATGTATTTTTTAAACATGGTACTTGTGTGGGGTGATGGGTATATTAACTAACGTGATTGTAGTAACCATTTCACAGTTTACATGTATTAACTCATCACCCTGTACATCCTCAAAACACAGAACCGTCTGCAAAGGGTGGAGAAAGCGACTCGGCCGTGGGAAAACCTGGCAGACACAGCCTCAGCCGGAGCTCCGGTTAACTGGGCGGCACCGGAGCCCTCGCTATGACCTACACCTGCTCTAGGGAAGAAAAGCAACACAGCGAGGCGAAGACAGCGACGGGAAGTAGGTAAGAAAGCGACTGAGGACCGACTCCATTTCCAACGGACTCGCAGGGACCGAGGGGGACAAGGACACAGCTTGGACGCAGGCGGTGCCTGCCGGTCCCACCTTCCCCGTGTCCTGCGTGCTGACCGCCAGGAAGCGGAGGCCGGGAAGCACCCAGATGCAGGGGGACAGACCCCCACAACCAGGAGCGCACCGTCCTTTAACCGCAGTCCTCCTCCTGCCCCCCCACCCCCGACGCAGGACAGTAAGTGTGACCATCGCTGATTCTCAGGGTGACCTTGTCGAGAGGGAAATGTGACCGCATTTCCCCAGCATCGGGGCGCATTTCCAAGCCGCTCAGTTCTCTGAGAGAAGGAAGGGGTCAGCTCTGAACCCTGAAACGCAGGCGAGACGCTTCTCGGACGGGAGAGCAAGGCGGTGCCCAGGAGCCAGCCTTCGGGACAGAGGAGGGGGGCTCCAGCCCCGCGGGTTCCCAGAGCTCCGGACGGAAGGAAGTGGGGGGGAAGCCACCCCCCCCTTAAGGGGTGAGAAACCACCCCCGGGCTGGCGGCGGGTGGGAGCGTGGAACCCAGGCTCATGCTTCCCTACCTTCCCCACATCCTAAGGTGGCCATTGTGCGGCAGGGCGTCCCACCGGACTGTCTGAACAGTCACCTTCCCGCCCCCCCTTTGCCGTAGCGCCCCTCCTCCGGGTCCCCACAAAGGCTGTGACTGTTCGCCTCACACCTGACGTGGTGGGAGGGGAAGGAGATGGAAGGAGGGGAGGGAAACAGGCAGAGACCAGACAGGCAACCGGCCAAGGGCAGGGCTCTTGGGGGTGTATCCTCCCGCGGCTGCTCACCCCTTCACTGAACGCCCTGAGGTCCCCGGGAACCTACGAGTAAAGGCCTCGAGGGACACTCACCTCCCGGTCAGACCCGGACATCTGACCATGCCCCCGGCCGTGACCTCGCACTGACCGCCGCGTGTGACTGTGGGACGGCCTGCGCTGAGCAGAGAGGCGGTGAGAGGCCCACTGGCCCCGCTGAGCGAGGAGCCTGGGACTCACCCCCACCCCGGCCGACCTGACTCCGCCTCATCCCCACGTGGCCGGGCAGGCCCACGGGACACATCTTCCCACTAATATGTCGCCCAGCCTGTTGGGAAGGAAGTGAGGCTGCCTGGACCCAGCCCTGTTGCTCATGAGCTTGGGGCGCCCCGAATTCCCAGAGGCCTGCGGGGCCCTCGCGGGCAATGGGGACGGCCAGGCCGGCTCTGCTCGGCCCCGGGAGGGCAGCGAGCACCCGAGTGCACATCCTGCGTCTCAGCCTTAGGGTGGGAAGAACCACCCGCAGGGCAGCCGACCCGACCCGAGGGCTCAGCGCCCCGGGTAAGACGGGTTCCTGAGTCTCAGGTCCCCAAGATGCTCTGATGTGGAAAGACAACCGCCCATCCCCGCAGAGGCCGGGCGCACGCCCTCTGCCCCGGCCCCCACAGCTCAGCCCAGGGGCAGCATCGCCGCCCGCATTCCTGGCGCCATCTTCCCAGGGGCCCCTCCTCCACCCGCCTGGGTCTCAGACCCACTGACTCCTCCCACTCAGAGCCCCGAGCCCCTCCCCGCTCGTCCCAGCAGCGGGACTGCAGAGGCCCACCCCAGGGAAGAGGCCCGGAGCCTCGCGGGCCGTAGCAAGCACAAGGCACGTTCCCTCCTGTCTAGGTAGACGCCGTAGGTCCTGGACGTAGACATCTGTCGGTCCTGGCGTATTGACCCAAGTACTGAGTTTTCATCCAGAGCCAGAGATCAAGGAAATGGAGAGACCCGACCCAAGCGGAGAAATGAGCCCCCACAGGGCGCGTGAGCCGGTCCCAGATTTCCTGCAAAGGCGCAGGGTCACCCCACGTGTCAGAAACACTCATTGGAGAGGTTTCCGGTTACCAACAGGGTCACAGGGCACGGAGGCCCTTGGTCCCGCTCCCCCGGGCACCTCCTCCGAGCCAGGCCTGCAGCCGCTCACCAGTTTCCGTCCAACTGGCACCTTCTGTGGGACGCACACGTGCCAGCTGCAGCCCGGGCACCCAGCAGCTGACACTGTGGCTGCGCAGTGAGCTCTGGGACGAGTGGACGGGGAGGACATTCGAAGCCGCTCCCCTGCCTTGGAGCCCTGAGGGCGCCGCACGACCAGGGCTGAAGGCACGCGTCAGGCCCACCCGCTTCGGGGGGGCTTACAGAGACAGCGCAGGTGGGAACTGGGGGTTCACTTACATGCAGACTTTTTCCCAGTAAATACGGAAATGGATTTTCTCTTCCTTACGATTTTCTTTCTTTTTTTTTTTTATCCTCATCCGAGGATATTTTTTTGCCCCGCTAATTTTCAGACAGAGTGGAAAGAAGGGAGAAGTAGCGGAGAGAGAAACATCAATGGGTGGCCTCCCACACATGGCTCCAAGTGGGGCTGGGGATCAAACCTGCAGCCGAGGTACATGCCCTTGACCAGAATCGAACCCACGACCCTTTGGTCTAAGGGCCGACGCTCTAACCGTGGAGCCAAACCAGCCAGGGCCCGATTTTCTTATAACATTCTTTTCTCTCACTTACTTTATTGTGAAAATCTATATATATAAAAGCCTAAACAACCGAACGAGCAAATGATCGAATGACCAGTCGCTATGACGCGCACTGACCACCAGGGGGCAAATGCTCAGCACAGGCGCTGCCCCCTGGCGGTCACTATGCTCCCACGCTCAGCCAGAAGCTGTGCGGGAGCCTCTCCCGCCTCCACAGCAGCGCTAAGGAGCAGTAAGGAGCAAGGGGTCCTGGACTGCAAGAGGGTGCAAGCTGTGCTGAGGGGACACCCCCCTCCTCTGTGTACGAATTTCATGCACCAGGCCTCTAGCACAGTTTACAATACATACGACATGCACAGCAGGTGTGGGTGGCTATTTATGTCACTGGTGAGGCATCCATTCAGCAGTTACGCTTTGGGGAGTCGGAGTTATGCATGCATTTCCGCCTGAGCAGGGGGCTGCCCCCAACACCCTGTTGTGTCCCATGGAAGAGTCACTGTTGGAATAACAGGTGACACGGTTCTGAAAAGGTGATTAGCCTCAACGTCCGAGGGCCCTGGGACAACTCTGGAACCTGTGGGGCCAACGGGCCACCGTGGTTCTAATCCAGACGCTCCTTGTGGGACACTCAGTCTGTTCTGCCTGATGAATCCGGCTCCGCGCTGCACACCTGCACGGAGAAGGTAAACGCAGTGGAGCAGCGAGCCCACGGGGTGGGGGGGGCACTGGCCCACAGAGGCCTTGAGCTAGAACGTCTGCCTGTTAAATTCTAAAGGTGCTTCCTCTGGTCTCTCACCTTCTCACCCCCAAAATGTAAGTAGCCCCTCTCCCACACACACACGTGTGAACACACATGCACACACATGCACATGACCCTTGGTTCCCAGTGTTCTCTCCTTGGCGTGCCCAGTGCGCTCTCCCTTGGTCCTTTCAGCACAGTGAGCATCCATTCTAGGCAAGTTACTCTGAGCCAGTCTGTGCCTCAGTTTCCTCCTCCGCATAATGGGTATAAAACCAGCACCTACTTTAAAACACTTTGTCAGATGCCGTGAAACTGAGTTAACCCAACAAGGTTCCCAGAACCGTGCCATGCACACGCACCGGCTCAGACGTCACCTGTAATCACTGCGATTCCACCCTGAGAACTGCCCACGGGAGGCGCTGCCCCGCCTGCTCCCGCGGCCGCACTAACCTGAAGAAACGCTCGTTCCCGGGAACTTGGAGAAAAACAGGCCGACGGAGGCTGGTGAGAGCTACGGAGTCTCTCGGTTATTGTCAGTCACGGAACAGCTCAGCAGACTCGGGAACGAGGATGTGCCCAGTGCCAACAGTGGGCACTGGGCACCGAGACCACGAGGCCACTCGTCAGCCGCCCACCAGGGAAGGCCGTGGCCCTCTCTGCCCACTGCCTGGTGCCCTTTGCACTTGGACTTTGGAGTCTGTAAGTTCCACCTCTGGGCTCCTTCCATCGGCCCTGCCCAGCGGCCTCGCTCCGTGAGCATCTCCGAGCCCTGGCTCTGCCTCGCTCCTGCCGCCAACACCACTCCCTCTTCTCCACGGTCCCCGCGGGAGGGACTCAAAGTTCTCATGACGACCCTGGGAACCGAGGGCCACGCGCAGCCAGGGACCAGCCAGGCGTCCGCGGCGCCCGGGCCACCTGCGCTGTGTCCACGGAAACCAGCACCAGGAAACGCCTCGGGCCAGGCCAAGCGGTCGCTCCCTGCAGATCACACCGACCGACTCAGGAGACACCTGCACGCCCCAGCACGCATGCGCACACACACGCACGAGCACATGCACGCTCATGCAGACACACATGCGCACGCACATGCACACGCACACGCATACGGAATCAAATCTCAGCACGCACTGTGGGGCGGACACCAGGTGTCACTTTGACAGCCTGAATGCGAACGCCAGTGCTCCTTTCAGCAACACGGGACCAGGGACACGGTCCAGTAAAGGCAGTTGTTGGATACAAAACAAATTATTTCAGATAAAAACTAGTCCCGCGGGCAGAGGCCGCGCTCCAGGGCCAGCGGTCTGCGGGTGGCTGTCCCGGGAGTGGCCGCTGGCGGGGCCGTCAGAGTCCACGTCACCCGGCGCGGGGGCCTCGGTGTCTGTGACTCGGGCGCCGCCAAGGAGGTCCCCGGGTCAGGAACTTTGACCAACAGAAAAGACAGAAGGAATTCTCTCCGAGGACGCGTCCACCCCGGCGCCTCCTGGAACCCACGGCTCGGGACGCCGGGAGAGCGCGCCCAGCTCGGCCGGGGGCTGGGAGGCGGCGTGGTGAGCAGACGCTGGGTTTGTTTCCAGTCGTTCGAGATCCTCACTCAACGGAAAACACTCCCACTCGGTTCCCGGCTCCAGGAAGGCCTCCCGCTCGGCCCCCGCCTGGTCCCAGTGGCCCTCTCACCTGGAGGCCCCCGAGGCGGGGCCACCTGCCCAGGGTCGGAGGGGGCCAGGTGCCAACGGTCTCAGGACTCCGTACGCTGCACTTTCATTCCTGGAGCTGCTCAGGGGGACCCGAGACCAGCCAGGTGCCCTCCCGCCCTCCCTATATTCAGTGTCAGAGGGTGACACGCCAGAGAACGGAAATGTCCTCCGACAACCACCCACGAGGGCTCTCGGGGGTGCGGCCTCTGTCCCGCTCGGGGCTGCCAGAACCGAAGGCTCACACCCCATCAGCAGGATATGGGGGACGCAGGGGTCCTGCTGTGCCCAGAGCCGGGGACACAGACAGGGAGCTGGGACAGTGGCACCCACTCAGTTCTCCCGGCGAGTGTGCTGACTGGCACTGCCCAGGTACAGGGAAGCTCCTTGCCCAGTCGGCACCGTGTGCCCTCCCTGAACCCACCTCCGACCCAGCCCTGCAGCGCCCACCTGGCCACGTCCTCAGCACAGAGCCTGCAGGGCCTCTCAGGGGCCTCGATCGTCCCTGGCTCACCTGGCTCACCGGTCACACTGGTGGGCAGGACCCGCAGTCTATGCCGGGACCCCCACGCCCACCCCCTCCCCATTAGGCTGAGACCTCCTTCCAGAGAGAACTTCACCGCAGCAGTGGTCGCCCTGGGGCCTGGCCCCTGGGGCCTGGCCCGCCTTCCGGGGCGGATGGGCGTGTGGAGTGCTGACCTGCTGAGCGGGAGCCGCACCAGCAAACCTCCAGCCCACCCTCCACACAGGCCCGGGTCCGGGACTCTGCCGGGACCAGAGAGGCTCCCGGTTAGGACTCAGGTCTGCATCACAACAGGCCTCCCCTCCGGCAAGAGGCTGGGTCTCTCATACTGTTTTCGCACCACCCTGCTCTCGGGCCCAGACCCCAGGCAGGCAACTGAGCATCCCTCCCCCCGCCCCCTTTTCAGAGAAGGCGGGGTCCCCACAGGCCAACA